CCCTCCAGCCCCTGGCTTGATTCCAGATGTTCTGCAGCTGCTGGGAGATGCACTACGCAATGGGGAATCTCAGGGCCCGGCTGCCCCTGTGGCCCCCTGCAGAGCTGGAGACAGCCCAGGTGTCTCAGCTCCCTTCCCCCTTTACTTTATTCCTCTCTAGACTTTGCTACCCACTAAGAGAACCCAGGCCTCCGGGCTCCCAGCCCCCCCCCCAAGCTGGAGAGAACCCAGGCATCCCGACTTCTGCAGGGGGGGGCGGGGGACAGGAGACATCCCCTGCTGTGCTGCCGGGTGACATGGAGATGGGGAAACTAAGGCATTGTCTCAGCTCCCTTCCCCCTTTACTTTATTCCTCTCTAGACTTTGCTACCCACTAAGAGAACCCAGGCCTCCGGGCTCCCAGCCCCCCCCCCAAGCTGGAGAGAACCCAGGCATCCCGACTTCTGCAGGGGGGGGCGGGGGACAGGAGACATCCCCTGCTGTGCTGCCGGGTGACATGGAGATGGGGAAACTAAGGCATGGAGCCCTCTAGCCTGGCCCTGGAGCCTCCCAAACCCTATCCCTCTAAAAATCCTCCCAGATGCCAGGCTGGGAGGCAGAGGGGGACCCACGTAGCCCCACCATCCCCCATCCCCTGACTCTTGCCTCTCTATGTGGCAAGGGTTGGGTTTGTACAGCCCCTGGTGTGGGCTGGCCTGGATTTACCGGGAGGGGAGGGGCTGCGCTGCCCCCTAGGAGCTCTGAGGGTTCAGGGCAAGGGGCTGGCTTGGAGCTACAAGGCCCTAAGCCGGAGGTTTCAACCCTGTCCCCTGCCCCCCACCTCATTAGACACCAGATCCCCTTGTTAAATCCAAGACCTTTCTCATTAGTCTCCAGATGCCCTTGATAGACTCCATCTCCCCTTGTTAGACTTGTTAGACTCCATCTCCCTCTTGTGAGACCCCCTTGTTAGACTCCATTCCCCCTGCTAGACTCCACCCCACCTCGTTAGAACCAGGACCCTCTTGTTGGACTCAAGACCCCTTCGTTAGACTCTACCTCCCCTTGCTAGAATCAAGATAGCCCTTCATTAGACTCCAGACTCCCCCATTAGGCCTGAGCCCCACCGCATTAGTCCCCAGCCCCCATATTAGGCTTAAGCCTCCCCTTGTTAGACTCCAGTCCCCCTCGTTAGATCCAAGAATTCCTTCATTAGACTCCAGACCCCCTCGTTAGGCCCAAGACCCTTGTCATTAGGCTCTAGACTCCCTCATTAGGCCCAGGACCCCATTAATTAGATTCCAGATCCCCTTGTTAGATTCAAGACCCCCTGCATTAGCCTCTGGACCCCCTTGTTAGACCCAAGAGCCCCCTTGGTGACAGCCTCTCTGCTTCTGCAGGCATTCTCACCCTTGCTGTATTTGTGGGCTCCAGCCCGGTGCGTCCCAGCCCCCTCGGGAGAGACTTTGTGGTGGCCTTCATGCAGAACGGGCTCCACCAAACCCTCAACAGTGACTTCAAGCTGTTCATCACAGGCCACTCCCCTGCCGCGGCCATCGCCATCTCCATGAAGAGCCCAGGGCTGAGGATTGCAGCCCAGGTGCGGTTGGCGCAAACCATCCATGTCAAGATCCCGCCACAGGCTGAGATGGTTGGGAGCAAATCGTTTGAGAACGCCGTGGTTGTCCGGGCTGATGGGGACATCTCCATGTTCGCCGTCAATGAGAAGCCCGACTCGGTCGACGCCACCGTGATCTACCCTGTGTCCAGCTTGGGCACAGAGTACTACGTTGTCACACCCACTGTGGGCACTGACCGCTATGGCGAGTTCGTCGTTGTGGCCTGGGATGAGCCCACGTCTGTGGACATCCACCTCAAAGGGGCGGTTACCTTCGAAGGGCGGATGCACCCTCGAAACAGCATGCTCACCCTCCACTTGCAGGCCTTCCAGGCAGCTCAGCTGCAGAGCCCCGTGGACATCTCTGGCACCCGGATCGTGGCTCAGAAACCCGTGGCCGTCTACTCCGGGCACACGTGCGTGACAAGGTACGTCCACTGTGACCACGTGGCTGAGCAGCTCCTGCCCGTGTCCAGCTGGGGCACCAGGTTCATTGTGCCCCCCTTGCCCTTTGAGACCCAGTCTGACATTGTCTACATCTCCACCTCCCAGAAGACCCTCGTGGAGTCCCAACACGGGGGACTCCGGTCTCATCGGGGGTTGCCGGGTGGGCGGGCCACGCTGTATGGCATCCAGGCCTCCACCGCTTTGTCCCTCTCGGCCAACGCTGGCATCCAAGTCACCTTCTTCTGCGATGGTGGGGTGAAGGGGTCTGTTGCCTATGACCCCTTCTTCATGGCCATCCCAGACATCTCTAGCTACTGCCAGTCCTACCACATCTTTGGGCAGGAGAATTTCGAAAACTATGCCCTCTTCATGGTGAGGACGGCGGAGACAGCGGGACTCATGCTAGACAAGCGGCCATTAAGGAACCTCCCGTGGAAGCCAGTGCCCGGCACAGAGTACTCTTGGGCGGACTACAACCTGGGGAGGAAGTTCTCCATACATAACGTGGAGCATGCCACCTCCCCCTTTGGCCTGCTGAGTGTCGGGATAGCCAACCAGAAGGCCTACGGGGCTCCAGCCATCTGTGCCACAGGTGAGAGCGGTGGTGTTGTTGCCCTCCCATTGGAGGAATGGGGATGGAAGGTCACTCGGGAGGTCATGTCCAGTTGCCGCCCTTCTCCAGCCCTGTCTGAATCAGCCCAGTCCAAGGTTTGGCCAGCCCAACCTCAAGACCCCAAACATACACCACTCCCTTGAACTCGCCCTGGTTTTAACCAGGGGCTGAGGATCCTATCCATTATCTGTCCCTACCAAACTAGGAAGGAGTCAATTCAAATCCTACCTGTGGATGCCATGCCCCCCCCTTGTGGAGGCATGTGAAGTCCCCCCAGGTCTCTGCTGATCTGAACCTGGGTCAAATTCTTCCCATCTCTTCAATCCAGCTGGCCTTGAGTGGAGGAGGGAGACATCATGATCTGTGTTAGTCTGAAGTCAGGCAGAAGACAGGGTAGATCTGCACCTTCTAGACGAAGTGGTTCTCAAACTTTTTTTTCTGCAGATCACTTGAAAATTGCTGAGGGTCTTGGTAGACCACTTAATAAACTTTTTTTTGTTCTACAAATCAAAGCACACAACTCATATTTTAATATCAGTAGTCTTACCTTTCTAATGTGATGGATGTGCCATTTTTTTGAGCGAAGTTCTGGGAAGTTGGGTGTAATGTTTGTCAGCTTTATCCTTAGGTCACCTTTCTGCGGACCACTTGAATGGAGTTCGCGGACCAGTGGTGGTCCGCAGACCACAGTTTGAGAACCTCTGTTTTAGACTAACTAAATCAGATCTACAGAGCACAATCGTTTGTCACCCCAAGGTCATTTCTCAGGGTTAACAAACCCAGGGTGAGGCACGTGCCTCACCAAAGTCCCAGTAAAAACTCCCATCTTCCCTTGGCTAGCACAGAAGTCAATGGGTGCTGCCCTTTTGGACTCAGACCCCGGCTTCCATCCCTAGCAAAGACCATCTCCAATGACACCATTTCTTCCACCCTAGATCCCTGCCAAGGTCTGAAATGCCGGGAAAAGGAAACCTGCAGACTACAGAATGGGAAAGCAGTGTGCATCCATAACTACATGGGCACCTGCCTGGGGTCCCTGTCCCGGCAGTACCACACGTTCGACGGGCTGACCTTGGACCTCCCCGATGGGTGTACCTACACTGTTGCCAAGTACTGTGGGAAGGACACCACCCTGGTTCCCTTCGCCATCCAGGAGAAAAATGGGAAGAACCACAATGGGTCCACCCTGGGGCTGAGCCAAATCTATGTCTACGGCCACAAAATCTCCATCGACAAAGGAGCAAGGGGTGTTGTCCGGGTGAGTCATAGAGAAGTGAGGCTGGAAGGGCCCTCCAGAGGTTATGGAGCCATAGAGAAGAGACCCCCAGTAGTCATAGTCATAGAGAATTGGGTTTGGAAGGGACCTCCAGAGATCAGAGTCATAGTAGTGGAGTCATAGAGAAGGGAGCTGAAAGGGACCTCCAAAGGTCACATCTAGTCCAACCCCCTGCCTCAGGCAGGACCAGACCTGTCCAAACCATCCCAGACACATCCCTCATCTAAGCTATTCATAAAATAACCATCAACCCTGACATGATACCAGACCTCACACCCAAATCTGCCCCAGGGAAAGCAGGGGGACCACGGCTGCCACTGTCCTGCTGCTGTAGAAGGTTGTTATTAGATGCTCCAGAGACCCCAGGTAGAGGCTGTGTCCCCGCTACCGAGAAAGGCAAAACCCCATGGAATGGAGAATTTAGGAGGGATCAGATGTACTACAGTGAGCTCGGACTTCAACAGACTCCCTTGGTGCTGCCTGAATAGAAATGCTGCTGCTTCTCCCAGATAGTTGGTTTTAAGTTCAGGTGGGGCAGAAATCGGAGGAGGAGGGGGACAACTACAGCACTGCCCCCTGCCTGGGCTACTTGTTGCCCCACTTCTTGTGTTTTCCAAACTTCATAAATCATCTAGCAAATCAGGGCTTCTCCCCATAACATTCAATTTGGTTTGGCTTGGACCTAAAATGCAATAATCCAACTCTAGCC